ATGTGTCCAAAGTACAGCAGTCTCAGTCTTGACTTTCTGCTGAAGTTCAGGTTTGATTTGCTATAGAAAACATTTGTTCACGGAAGGGCGATTAAGTTTCTCACCCAAGAAACTCTAATGTTTCACCAAATTACAAGATTTGATAGGATGTTGGTATGTCATTCAAAATTGAACCATAATGCTATGGTTCAATGAACAGCGTAGGTGCCTGCTTTGAGGGCTGACACACCCTGTTCCACCCATGGAAAGGAGTTCCATGTAGAGTGCAATGTGACCCTCACTAGTTCTTCTAGCACCTATCTTGCTTGAATAAGCAACACACTGCTTTCAATCAGATCTTACTAACTGGTCGGAGCGCATCTGACATTGTATCTTCCTGGATATGAAGCTGAGTTGTTAGTTCTTTCTGTCTAACACTAGAAGCAGTGCTTGCATGATAAGGAGGCCAAAATGAAAAAGATCCTATCACTCAGAGATAGATGATGTACTCATGTAGGTAATTAGCAAAATGGCCGTTGTTAATTATGAGTGAGGCAAAAGGCGAAATGAAGGACTGCAAGGACCTGAGAGAAGTAGTATTTTGCATGTTTCCTTGGGATTTGCTTCACTGTAAGTCAAGACACTAATATCACAACCAGAAGAGAGGTGCTCCCTGAATGTTGTGTTTGAACTTAGTATAAGATCCAGTTATTTCTTCCTGTCAGGACCACAAACCTCCTGCCACCAATTCTGCTATTTCCCAATTAATTTGAGTCTATCCAACTACAGTGCAAATTGCAATCTGAGCACTTTGCCCAACTTCTGTAAATAGGAATGATAGAGAATTTAGGTTCAATCTAGCTATTAACAAGAATGCATATTTTCTAGTATTTGTTTCTTTTCTTCCTAGAATGGAACTTCCCGAGAGATTAAATGCCTCAGTAATTAGTGTTACAGATCTGTACTTTCCCATGACCAACCACAAAATAAATGTATGGAAAACAAGCTAAAGAAAATCACTGGTTATGACATCTTTCACTACTTAGGGCAGCACCCTGGGGTTGTTATGATACAAGTTTTGCCTAGTTTGACCTTAAGTCTCTTCTTAAAACAGGACTAGGAATTGTGTGACACTACAGATACTTTATATTATAAATCCCAACAGCTTTAATTAGGGGAGTTAATGGTGAACAAATTGGGATTTGCAGTCCACATTTCTCCCCATCTTTTACACAGAATAAATGTAAATGGTGTTGAGTTCTTGGGTTGTGCAACTATAACATTTTACAAACACCTTGTGGATTTGGTCATTTTCCCCGATCTAGCACTGGAGGTACATTATATTCATAGGATTTGACTGTAAGAAATATCAATAGGGATAATTCCAGGATTTAATTATGATCTGAATCACATTTCCTAAGCCTTCAAATTCTATCTCCACAAATGTAAGTAATATGGTCCGGAGCTCAAAACATGCCAAAATGAGATTATAGAATAAAATGTGTTTAAAACAAATTACTGAAATGCACCTTTTCACATAGTTTTTAATTTCAAAAGTTGGAGATCAATGTGAAAATGGAAGGGAAGAGGCTTATGAACATGAGAAGCTGACATAGACTGGAATTTGAGTCGTTTCTGACTGAGTGTACTTGGCAGTTGTTTCGCCTTCCAACTGGAATGAGACCAGCTCAGAAAACTGAGTCTGGTAGAGTTACACTGGGCCCCCTTGGATGACAATGGAAGATTTTGCTGTGATTGTGGCTGAAGTGGTATTTATTAGTACAACTGCATATGAGACAAAGAATTATCCATTGCCTCTGAAAACTGATTAGAAGGAGCAAAGCTAGAACCTTAAGCAAAGGTATAGATGGCTAGCTTTCTCCAAGGCTTTCATTATTTACATATGGTAGCTTTTCAAAATTGTAGTTATTTTGTTACAATTAAAGTCAGAATTTCTCAGTAAAGACACAACACCCAAGGCACATGGTTTTTTAAAAAGCAAGCTGATGCATGGCAGGGGGCTGGATTGGGTGACCCTTGTGGTCTCTTCCAACTCTACAATTCTATGATTCCATCTGCGAATCTATATAAATAAAAATGTAATGCTAGTTTGTGGGATTAACATAACTCAAAAACCACTGAGCGAATTGACACCAAATTTGGACACAACCATCAAAGTCCTCCCAACAGTTGGCCATCCAGTTGTAAAGGAGCCACAATGGCCATCCAATCCAACCTCATTGGGCAGTAAAGGAAGACACCATCAAAGCCTACCCGACAGATGGCCAACCAGTTGGAAGGGAGCCCCAAAAGCCATCCAGTCCAACCCCCTTTGGCCTTAAATATATGTGTCTGTCTGTCTGTCTGTCTGTCTGTCTGTCTGTCTGTCTATCTACCTACCTATGCTCTATCCATCTACCTTCTGATCCATCTGTCAATGTCCCTTCCACCTTCTCTTCTGTCTATTGTTTCATGCCTGGAATTCCCCTGTTTTCTGAGGGCCACAGCATGGCAGGGGACAGCTAGTAAGGTATAAAATAGGGGGAATAAACTTGCTGGGGCTTCAATTGGAAACCTCTGTTTCTGTGCAAAGCTGACCCATGTGATGAGCTAAAAGAAATGCAGTTTAGTATACCTTGCTGTGATGGTAGCTTATTCTTCGGTTGTGATAACCTACTTTCATCTCTTGGACAGGAAGGAGTATAAAAGACTTCCTGTTTTGCTTGGGATCTTGCCTGAGCATTAAGGTCTTCCTGGCTTTTGTTTAGATTTCTGTGCACTCTTTGCTCTTGGACTAGTCCTGAACCCTGACTCCTTGTTCACCTTTGAGAGATGCCTAGAGATCATATTTGTCACATATCTTGGGTGATGTGTTATCTCTACCTCATCCCAATAACCCACTCCTTTTTTCTTTCAAGTGTCACAAAATCTTAGAGCTTCATTCCTGGGCAAGTTCCATTAACCTCAGGCTGCTACCTCAATTGGAAGATCTAATCAGAGGTGTGAATGCTATAACTTTATATTGAATATATGTCTAATGTGGCAAATGACTATCTGGCTTCTACTATCGCTATTCCAACCTGCAGTTTATTTTAACTACCACATGGAGAAGCAAAATCTTAAAGAAGCCCAATATATCAAGTTTCGGGCAACCCTTCTATCCACAACTGACAGGGCTGATGTTGGTGCCATCATTATTATTAGTAAGAAGAAGAATGAGAAACCATTCAAGAGGGTAAATGAAAGACTGCATGGATAAGAGCCAGCAAATAACGTATTTAATCATAATGTGCATGGGAAAAAGATGGATAATGATGAGAGGGAAATACAAATAAGTTCACTGGAACTCTGTATTTAAATCTTGTGTATTTTTTAACTAAAGGACTTCAAATTGTGATAGAAGAGGGTTAGAAGAGAACAGAATTAAGAGGGGATATACTGTAAATGACAACAACAGAACTAGATCAAATGTGAGACAGTTAAGACTACAAACTGGGTTTAAATAATACATAGTAATGAGGACAATTCAAGACAGAAAGTTCTACTCTTTTATCACCTGATACATTTTGGCTTTCAACTGATGTACACTTTCAGTTTCACATCAGATTGATACTGGGGCATACGAAAAAGACCCATTTGCAGTAATTAACCTGAATGGCTCATATCCAAGATATACCTTGCTATTAAAGGGCATAATATGTGTAAATCTGTTCTAAGGTTTGGAATCCTTGGTACAATTTCTTTTTTCCCCAGAAAAACCTTGAATATTCTCTGGTAAAATCTGCCATAATCTTAATATATTTCTTTTAAAAGTGATAACAATGCATAATCTGATGTTGTTGTTGAGCATTAATATATACTCAACAGACCATACATTTGAGTCCACTGAAGCATCCACGGGAAGGACTATCAAGCTATCAATTGCAAAGTGAATCCTCTGAGGTTATGCTTCCATGGCATTAGAAACAAGTTGTTGGAACTATTGAGAATGTCCATCGATTGTATATGCATGTGCATATGTGTGCATACACACATACATACATACAATATTATAACACTGCTCAAGCAGTTAGGTAAAAGCATAAGAAGGAATGATGTCCAAGGAAACTTGAAGCTTCTTAAGACATATATTTATTTTAAAGGACTGAATACAGAAATGTGTACCAAGGACATTCCTGTGCCCAGGAATCACCTATGGTAATATGGGGGCTATAGTAGTCTCCACAAACTCTCAAGTGCTATCAAAATTAACTGAATTCTAAGACTATATATCTAGTCAAAGGAGAAGCTGCTAGAAATATCCTTAGCCCCAGCCAATAGCTCAATAAGTCAATGCAATGTGATTGGTGGGAAAAAGAAAAAAAAAAGGAGAGGACTGTTTTGTGTACAGAAACATTGGCTGTAAAAGGGATTGAAATCTCCCTGAACTGGCAAATCCCACTGGCATGTCTCTCAAGTGAAGTCTTTTCTCTTTGTTATTTTTATAAATACCACAGATCAAAGCATCCCTAGTGTAGAGACTGTTGCAGTATATATTTGGAGTGAATGTCCATTCCAGTATGGATATGTTTTGATTAGAGATACCATGGAAACATATAGTAAATTCATATGCTCAGAATAATGCAGTAGAAGATAGTCAGCATATGATTATCTTACCTGTAAGTTTAGTGATGAAAAGGTGGCAGTGGGATAAGTTTCCTAATCAATTCATGATACATTTTTTTAGCTGAGAACAGGTATCCTCTTAGAGATTTAATGTGTGGACCCACTTTTTCAAAAACAGGATCCCATGAGTTAGTAGGAGAGATGAAATGGGTTTTTTTTCCAGTTCATTGCATCATTCACTAACATGACACTTACCTCTGAAGAAACCAAGCCCTTGATTATATTTAGCACAGGGCATATTCCACCATATGAGCTTTTGCAATATTGCACTCTGAATATCATAAATGAAATCAACCAGCTGGTATGCTACACACTTTCAACCACTTTCTCTTGTATAAACTCAAATCACTACTTACAATCCGAGGTTTGAAGGGTGGCTTGATTTTCCTTTGTTCTAGAAGAACCCAGTCGATTTCCTTAAAGAATGGGTGTTGCTTAATGGCATCTTCACCATTCTGGGATGCCACACAGCCAAGTCGCTTATTTGGATTTTTTGTCATGAACTAGAACAAAAACAAAATATATCCAATATTATCTATACTGTGTGTGTGGGTGGATTATATTGGCAAACTGCAACTATCAAGCCAAGTCACTTTGATAGGTTTGTGTATATCAACCGTATCTTGATCCATTTCTGCTGGCTGGATTCTGGTAGACCGTATCTGTTTTTGTGTGCCTTCCAAAAACAGAGGGGTAGCCGGATAGCCATTTTAGGTCTGCAGCCGAAAAATACAGATAGATCCAGCCCATTGGCGGTAATGGGGAATTTACGAGGCTCCCCTTTCTGTTCCTGGGATCCTTTCCTTTTTTCCCTTCAAGGGAACTTAGGTTTCAGCAACAGGGTTAAGATAGCATACTTCCTTGGATACTTTCATTTTTTTCCCTTCAAGGGAGCCGAGTTTCAGCATCGGGTTTCATAGATCTAGACACTATGCTCCTATTGATGCAGGCCAAAGCCAATGGGATTTTGGCCTGCATCAATAGGAGCATAGTGTCTAGATCTAGGGAAGTAATGCTACCCCTCTATTCTGCTTTGGTTAGACCACACCTGGAATATTGTGTCCAATTCTGGGCACCACAATCAAGAGAGATATTAACAAGCTGGAATGTGTCCAGAGGAGGGCGACTAAAATGATCAAGGGTCTGGAGAACAAGCCCTATGAGGAGCGGCTTAAGGAGCTGGGCATGTTTAGCCTGAAGAAGAGAAGGCTGAGAGGGGATATGATAGCCATGCATAAATATGTGAGAGGAAGCCACAGGGAGGAGGGAAGCTTGTTTTCTGCTTCCCTGGAGACTAGGACGTGGAACAATGGCTTCAAACTACAAGAGAGGAGATTCCATCTGAACATGAGGAAGAACTTCCTGACTGTGAGAGCCGTTCAGCAGTGGAACTCTCTGCCCCGGAGTGTGGTCGAGGCTCCTTCTTTGGAAGCTTTTAAACAGAGGCTGGATGGCCATCTGTCAGGGGTGATTTGAATGCAATATTCCTGCTTCTTGGCAGGGGGTTGGACTGGATGGCCCATGAGGTCTCTTCCAACTCTTTGATTCTATGATTCTATGATCGGGGTTAAGGACGCAGACACAGCTTGCGTAAGACATATCATGGCATTCCTCTATTCTGACTGGCCTAAGAGGCAGGGCTCACAGGGAAACCCCATGCAAGCAGCACGCGTCAGTCTCTTTGCATGCCTGCATGATGCCGAATAGGGAAGGAGAAGCCGTGAGCGGCTGCCACATGGTCTCATAATGGGTGAAAAATGTGATGGCTGGGTTCTTGCCGTTATGGCCACCTGACCAAGCCAAAGAAGCCAGATTGACTGAAGGGAAATGGCTAAAGTGGACCCATGCACAAGCCTACAGTTTGACTTGGTCTGATCTAACTTTCTGTAGTGATACTACAACAAAAGGAATATATTCTGGGCTTCATCAGTAACAATATTATACCCCTTCTGCTGAGTTGACCACAGAATCACACTGGAGGGCCTATAGATTCCTCGTGTGAACATTTTAATCAAACCTGCAGATAATCAAATCCACAAAAGTCAAACCCTCAAATATGGATTCATATTTAAGGATGCTTCAACACCTGCAGATAAGAAAAATTAAAAGCCTGCCTGCCAAGATTAAAACAGTTCTAGAATCTATGGTTTCCACTAGCTTTTGCAAACCTGGCCAATGGTGTGAGAGAGAGTATCAAAATAAATGCTATGATTTGTAACACTTTACTGCTTTTGGTAACAACAGTAACAACTACTAACATAGTTACTTTTGAAAAAGTAGCATGACAGACTATAATGTTGCTAAATTCTTTTGTTACTGAATTAAATAATGGATTAAGTATCTTTGGATACTACTCTGTTACTTTTTCGAAGTACTTTGGGAAGATTTCCATTTTAAAGTGTATCTCAAAACAAATAAGTAACTCAAAAGGAAGGTAACCAATGAACAACACAACAACTTGTTCTGATGTAAAAAAAATCAATTATACACACACACACAGACATACACACACAAACACACACAAACTGATTTTCCAAGCTCTGATAAAGGATGTTGATGTGATAGTTGGTCCCCATCTGGAGGACTTCAGGCTTCTGGTCTGCTCTTGAGCTGCCAGGGATAATTTTAGGGCCTTTTGCGTGCAGAGCTAAGCTGCAGTTCCTCCATTCTCCGTGTTATTCTCATCTTTCAAGGGAATCAAGTCTAAGCCTTAAATAAAGGTTTTGAATTCCCAGAAGTCACAAGATACTTAAACATTTTAATAACTTCTGGGCTGTCTAATGTCAAGAAAGCTCTGGAAATGGATGGGACCTCGGCCAAAAGAGCACTGCAAAGATTTCGGCTTTCCTTTAGAGAAACTAAAAATATAAGATTCTCACAGCTTTTAGTTTCAAGGCAGCCCTGGTTGCAGAGATTGTATAGTATTTCTGGAAGACAAAGATAAATACTGCAAAAGTAAATGCAGCAATGAAAATACTTTTCATGGGCACCAAAGGCTATTATGCAAGAGTGACTCAAAAATGCTTTTAGAAGTCTAAGCAGGGCTTTGATTTACAGTGCCTGATGGAGAAAACCCATGTCTAACAATACAATGTAAGGAAACAAAGCGTTCCAAATCTAATCCCTTGTTAATATTCGGCAGTCAAGTACATAGACGCCCCACCATTTCCTCTGTTTTTCCTGCTCCTTGGTTTAACGCCATGCCACTAAAGTACAAGGAAAAGAAGACGTTTCTGCCACTAAGCCCCCTTAAAATCTATTGATAAGAAGGCTTTCTTTTCTCTTTTCTCTCATCCCCATTCTTTGGGAATTAAACTAGAATCATTCCTGTGTGAAATGGTACTGCTTTGTTAATCTCAACAGTGGTTATGAAACCACCATGGATTCCATGGGTCACAAAGGTGACTCAAATCTTACAGCCCCATGGATTTTATGTTGAGGCCATGAAGTGTTCCTCTGGATGGCAGTACTCCATGCAATGGATCTAAGATCTTTGCCGCATTTTATTCTAAACTCCAACCTAACAGTGTTGTTCATTTGTTCAGTCGTCTCCGACTCTTCGTGACCTCATGGACCAGCCCACGCCAGAGCTCCCTGTCGGCCGTCACCACCCCAGCTCCTTCAAGGTCAGTCCAGTCACTTCAAGGATGCCATCCATCCATCTTGCCCTTGGTCGGCCCCTCTTCCTTTTACCTTCCACTTTCCCCAGCATCATTGTCTTCTCTAAGCTTTCCTGTCTCCTCATGATGTGGCCAAAGTACTTCAACTTTGTCTCTAGTATCCTTCCCTCCAGTGAGCAGTCGGGCTTTATTTCCTGGAGGATGGACTGGTTGGATCTTCTCGCAGTCCAAGGCACTCTCAGAACTTCCCTCCAACACCATAGTTCAAAACCTCGATCTTCCTTCGCTCAGCCTTCCCTAAGGTCCAGCTCTCACATCCGTAGGTGACTACAGGGAATACCATGGCTTTGACAACCTAACAGTAGAAGTAGAAATATTTTCATGTCAAGATTGGATGGAATGTTTTTCTTATACAGTAAGAAAGCCATAACCTTGAAACCCTAATCTGCAATTTCACTTACCTGCACCTGAAGAATAATGGTTTTTCTAGAAATTTGTGGTATGCTTCCCTCAGAGGTTACCATGGGATTGAGTTGAAAGATGTAATAAATTCCTAGAAAGAATATCTTTCCATGAATTTCTAGGTTCTGCAGAATAACTCTATACTGTGGTGGGTCTGGAAGTAAGCAAATTTTGAGACATTTGGTCTTATCCATGGTCTTAGGTAGCTATGGTCTGGCCAGGAACATATCTCCTCCAGATATGGGGGTCTTGTTGTATTCTATTCCAGTAGCTTTTCCTTCAAAACACTGCATTTAAGCTCAGGATGAAAATTATCTGCTTTTTTAGGAAGTTCTGTATTCCTTGTCACACTTTTCTTATTGGACACAATAGGTGATTGCAAAATATGGCATCCTGTCATAGAGACCAACATGTTGTTTGCATCCCAGAGTCAATGCCTCAAAATCTGAAATGTTTTTGGCGATGAGGAGGAGTTCAGACAATTTGGCCCAGATTAGCCCCAGAATAGAGACCAACAATGAGCCAACCCACCACATTTTATTGACTGAAGCAAAGGACAAGAAGGCTCCCAGCATCCTACCTCTTCTCTGTAAAGAAAAAACTATGTTGAATTGGTTGAGACTCGATGAGATATTCATTGAAAACTAGTTTTTCAACTATAGCAAAATGTGCTGATGGATGCCCCGCAAAAACAAAGTTTTTGCAGTTTAATAAACTTTTCCCATGTTTTTATGATAGATCCAATTAGGAAATGACATTTATAACCCAGGAATAAAAATCATGTCACATAGTGTAATTAACCAATGCAGCATGAAGAAAAATGCAGCAAAAAGCTGGAGGTGGGCTTGGTATGGGGTGAAATGTTCAGTCTTACATTCTTTCTAGAATATAAGTAGCCTATATATGCCTATACCAGGATCTGGGAATCTATTCCCTTTTGAGAATTTATTGAATTTGCTGTAATTTTAAAGAAACTTCTATTTTCAAAAAATCCTGTTGGTATTAGTATAGACCAGGGGTCCACAAACTTTTTAAACAGAGGGCCAGGTCACAGTCCCTCAAACTCTTGGAGGGCCGGATTATAATTTAAAAAATCATGAATGAATTCCTATGCACACTGCACATATCTAATTTGTAGTGCAAAAAACACTTTAAAACAATACAATAATTAAAATGAAGAACAATTTTAGCAAATGTAAGCATATTAGTATTTCAATGGGAAGTGTAGGCCTGCTTTTGGCGGATGAGATAGGATTGTTGTTGTTGTTGTTGCTGTGTGCTTTCAAGTCGTTTCAGACTTAGGTTGACCCTGAGCGAGGGCCGGGTAAATGACCTTGGAGGGCCATATCCAGCCCCTGGGCCTTAGTTTGAGGACCCCTGGTATAGTCAGAGGTCCCTTCTACACATTATCTGCTTTGAAC